TTTATGGTTACAAGAGACAAACTTTTTCAAAGTGAGTTATAAAATCAATACATTTTTATAAATCCCTCTACTCCCGTTTTAATCTCATGTTAATTTTGTAACCAACTCATTGTTTGCAGAGCAAAATTAACTTTTTATGACCACAAATTATAACCAAATGGGAAACCCTGTAAATAAATTGACAAAGGTAATGTCCTTGCAATATTACAAATAATTTTAAAGTTATATACATATTTATAGTAATTTTACCAAATTCTACGCATACAATAGGTTTGTGACAAAAAAAGTTACGTCACACGGTCGAAAAAGTTGCGCTTTTGTATATATTAAAACATATGTATTGACAACAGACGCCATCATGCCGCTCGGCGGAGCGTAACAATATTTTCATGGACAAAAGAATATTGTGAACTTAAATTTTTAGTAGAATATGTATTATTCAGGTACCTGTGTGTCAGCCCACAAAGTACATAAATAAGTACATTATCATCACGGCCAACAGCAAATACATTCAGAAAAAAAGCGTTAACTGTCCGCTCCAGCATCGTGTACGTTTTTTTAATAAATTACAGCTCATATTCTTCATCATCATCATCATCATATCAGCCTTCAACTGTCCACCATATGAAGGAGCCCATTTTTTCGCCAATTGTCGCCACAATTGACAGGCGGGTTAATAACCGCAATTAGGTTTTGATAATGTTTTAAGAAGGATGCTGCTGCCCATCCCTCGCCCTTCCTTAGTTGCCTCTTACGACACCCATAGGAAAGAAGAGATGGCTCGTTCTATGTCGGAACTACACAGCAACTCACATTAGTGGCTAATAATGTAGCTTTTTATAGGCGAAAATTTTTTTAGTTTATCCATTAAAAACGAAAAATAACATCTTTTCTCTTTATAAAATCAGTTCAAGTGGAGAAGGATAAATCTTTATACTGTAATGATGAAGTAAGAACAAGAACAAATAAATTTTGCTCTAAATAAAAATAATACCAATGAATTTGTACTTCTTTTTTTAAAAAAAAAATCACTTAATAAACGCTTCGCAATTAATAACGTAGACCCGTAACATAGCCACAAAAATACAAGAGAATTAAAAACCTACTCATTTTGAAAGTCATTTTAAAAAGGAAATGTATTTTATCTATTTATTTATTTATTGTACACGAAATTTATATTGTTATAATTTATCTATATAAAATAGAATAGAATAGAATTTTATTGCTAACTGTGTACATACATATAGCAGTAACTATTGCTATATATAAATAAAAACGAATGGCTAAATGTGTTGCTAAACGCAAAACTCTAAAACGGTTGAACCGATTTAACTATTTTTTTCTTCAAATATTCGTTGAAGTCCAAGGTAGGGTCTTATGAAGATAAACATTTTAAAAATCGCCTATGAAAACAAAGAAACCCCATTTTTATTGTTTCTATATACGAACTGCTAGTCTTATACAGCCCTTGACAGAACGACATCTGTCGGGTCAATTAGTTTTAAATAAAAATGTATAACAAGCGATCTTAACTTTGTAAGAGTTCTCATCTAGCAAACCTTGAGTGGCAATTTATGTTACTACTTTTTAAATAGAGTTGTGTTCCACCCGGCTTCACTCAGGTAGAAAGGTAAATTAGATAAAATATAGTCCATTTTACTTACTAATATCTTTTTTTTTTTATACAACTTAGAATGGCAAACAAGCTGACGGCCCTTCTGATGGAAAGTGGTAACCGTCGCCTATAGACATGAGCAGTACCATGGACATAACAGAGTATACTGTTTCGCCCATGATACCCCTCATGCGTTGCCATTCCTGAGGACTCAGGTGTTATTCCTCTGTACACAGTAAATTCACGCTATATCTATAGGTAATATCAAAGTAACTATAGATAAATAATTTTTTAAAATCGGTTAAATAGTTTTTGAGTTTATCCATTACAAACAAAAACCAATGCTCTCTTCTTCATAATATTAGTTGAGACTAGATAACAAATGGACACTGATAAAATGTAAATAGAACACGCATAAAAGGTTTTCGTGTGACGTGAACTAGCTCAACTGAGCTAAGTGAGTGAATTGAATTCAAATACCAATACAATACAAAATACAATGGGTTAGGTACGCCGGGTTAAGTTATATCGCGCCCTCTGACCCGACTAATCGGGGTGGGGTGGGATTGTAGGTGGGGATTTGGGATGGGAACAAATGATACGTTTTTATCGATATCGATAAATTGCATTACTGATTTTAATTCAAAATAAAATAAACGGGCAAACGATTGTAATCGCTCATGGGGTAGTCAGATGCACTTGTCAACTATTTCCATCGACTTGTTCATATTTTGCCGATCATGATAACGTGGTAGGCATTAAAGATGATTAATTAAATTTAATCAGTTAATGTTATTTATAGTTTGATTGTCATGTACTCGTAGATTCAAATGCAGTCTGTAATCGTTTTAAACTCAGTTATCTCAAAATATCCGTTTCCGTTGCGTACATAAACTACAAATTTCATAACGATTGATTGAACCGTTAAAATGCCAAGTACTAATAATTAAACTCACTGTTAAATATAAGAGTATCAATATAATATTAGTAATCATAATATCAGCAGTTAATTGTCCACTACTGAATAGAAGCCTTCCTCATAAGAGAGTGCTTGCCAGTAATTGCCACGTTTATCAGCTAGCAACCGTAGTTAGGCTTTTGGTAAAGTTTTAAAACGGACGCTACTACCCAACCTTTCGACCTTAGTAATATTAGTAAAGTAAGAACTAATAAGGATATATAACAGGCACTAAACAGATTTATTTGATCAATAATTAAATAAAAAGCAACGATCACTGCCTACAGATATAAACCACACTTTAGACACTACTGGATATACTGTGTTCCCGGTATTGCGTCACTTAAGAACCGAGGTGTGTAACATATTAAACATAAAATGTTTGATATTACACTATCTGTCTTATCTTTCAAACTGAAGTACAACAATGCAGACCATAACAAATCAACAGACCATATTAAGTTTAAACTGCAAAGTAAAGTAATTATAACACGTGTCAATACGATCACTACTTGCTGGACAGGTAATATTAAACACTATTGATAAAGCGATCATTTATTTAATGTGATGTGAGTTGTCAAGGCAACTGGTTTGATATATGTTGTGAGTTATTAACGCCCGTTCTGTGTTCATTAACTTGACGTGTCGTTTTTAAATGTAAATCGGCTAGATGTATTGGACAGCGCCATCTACTTAGTCCCAAGCTAAGCGAAGCTTATATTAAGGTTGTTGTATTGGTATCAACCGTTAACTGCTGAACATAGGGAAATATGGCCCCATAAGGGAGGTCTTACCAATAGTTATCGCTTAGCAGATGGATTGGCAACCCATCTATCCGCCATAAGCTCCTTTAGTCACTTACGACACTCACGGGAAAGGAAGAGGTAGCCTATTCTATGCCGGGATCTATACGGCTTATGTTAAGGTACCAAACAAGATATACTTGTTTTTTTTTTTTAAAGTACGATCATATTTTACATAACAAGCATCACAGTGCATTAAGTAATATTTATGATGGGTGATCGTATCAATATGATGTTTGATATTTTCCACATGCTAGCTAGTCATCTTATTAGTCATGCCAAATTATAAATTTGAGATTTTAGTGCAGTAAAAAGGCCGTAATATAATGAATACGCTACCAACAGTAGAAAAAAACACTACAAAATTAAAAACATTTAAGTTAATACGAGTATGCACGTCAGTCTTTTACTGTTCCATCTAATTCAACAAGCAGTTTCAATCAAAGATAAATAATAAACATGAAATCTAAAGTGAATTAGATTTAAGAAGAATTAATTTATTCGCTAGAATCCGTCGCTTTTTTATTTAGTTAAATATGATTCAACACACTATAGCCATATACTATTTATTATATCTATTTATCGATACATTATATCGACAGCGCCTCATCCCTATCCCCAATAACGGTGAAGTAACGGCGAGTCACCCCTCGGTCCCTCCCACTAAACTCGCTACCCTATGTACTTACTAGCCGTCACCCCCGGCGTTGCGTGGGATGATACCTACAGTGACACAGCATTTTAATAACGGTTTTTGTCGTTCTGTTTTTATTTAAACTGTAATCTTAATTTACTAACTACATATATCCCGCGATTTCGCGCAGTGAATTAAAACAAAAAGTATTTTATGTATTAATTCAAGATTAGATCTATCAGTGTGCTAAGTTCCATTCAAATACGTTCAGCTATTTAAGTGAGATTGATTAACAAACATACGAAAATCTTTACGACTTTTTATACAAGTAATACTAAATCCATCAAATATTCTACTGTTTATATAAACTAACTGTGCCCGTGACTTCGCACGCGTTAAAGACCTTATATATAATATACATCACATGTTCACACTTTTTTTTCTTTTTCCTGATTACAATACTATTGACATAACATTACTTGATAAGTAGATGGTTTTAAAAAAAATACAATTAACCCTTCTTTGCATAATGGTGGAAATTTCCATCATAACATTAAATGCCCAAAAATTATATAAAAGAACAAGTTCACTTTAAGTTGATCGTGTCTGGATACCTTTTTTAATGTCCATTGCAGAAAAAAAAAAAAACATAGCTGTCAAATTTATTTTTTTAACCAATTTTCCTTTAAGTTTGAACATGAATTATATCACCTTGATTTATTTCACCAATAAAAAAAAATCATGCAAAAAAGGGTTAAATTCTTTGAGGATATTTTTTTAAACTCTCCACAGCTTATATGTTGAATGATATTTAATCAATCATCATCATCATCTGAGTCAGTGGATGTATGTGGCTCAGGACCGTCCCTTATGGCAGTCTATGGGAGAGGCCTATGTCCAGCAGTGGACAGACAATGATATAATATGAGTTTGTTACAATTATAAAGAAATATAAAGAAAAAGATGATTAATCCAACATTTTTGTTCCAGGTGAAGATATGGTTCCAGAACCGTCGGAGCAAATACAAAAAGATGATGAAAGCGGCTCAAGTAGGCGCGCCGCCACCCAGCCTCGGCCTCCCACCAGGCAGCCCCCCTAATAATAACCAGTTATTACACGGTAAGTGCATTTTAATACAGAAATATTATGAAAACATAATGCCTACGGCCACTTTCTATCATCGGAAGGCTCGCCATCGACAAGGAATTCACTCTCATATCCTACAGCCTAGATGGTCGCGTACAACGCGGTATTAGATATGTTTTCTCCCACGAACACTCAGATTATGGAATGAGCTACCTGCCAAGGTTTTCCCAAGAGACTACAGCATGGGGTTCTTCAAAATGGGGGTAAAGAGGTTTCTTTAAGGTCGGCAACGCGCGCGTAATACCTTTGGTTTTGCAGGCGTTCACCGGCTACGGTACGGTTTTTTTTTTTGGGGCACAGTCTTTAATTATTCAAAATGTTTTTAAACTGAATTATTATTTATATACAGAACATTTCTAAATAGATCCAACAATGAACGTTGTTACCAGGAGGCGGCGGCAGCTCCAGTGGTTCTCAACACTCGCCGTCGGCGTACCAGAGCGGGGGTCCTGCGCAGGCGCATTCGCCCACGCCGAGTTCGACCCCCGTGTCCGAGTTGTCCCCTGGCTTGTCCCCGACTGGGACGCCGTGGGACGTGAAGCAACCACCACAACCGTCCTGGGACGTAAAGGTCGGATATGTAAGAACATTTGAAAAGAAATTAATTATCGTATCTTTTTGTAGTATTTAATATTTTTCCATTTATGTTATTAATGTATCTACAAAACGTAGTATTTAAGTATGTCTGTCAGTTGTCTAGTATCTATTCATAGTAAAATTCTCCCATACGAAAAATGGGTATTGACGACCCACACGAATGCTAAAGTTAAATGAGTTAGGGGGCCACCATGGGCTACGTACATCTCACTGGAGGTGTGCATCAGCAACAACTGAGGCGCCTCCAGCAACCAGCAAATGGTATTTTTTTTTCTCTTTTCATCGTTGTAATTTTTACCTGTAATTATTATTGTTGTTGGTAATATAAAATCTATCTATCTAAAATATCCACAGCGAGGAATATACTGAGTAGGCAATTTTTTGACTAGGAATTATCTGTTTAGTATTAAGTACATATGTTTTATATTATATTGTTTAATATACTATATGTAGTATGCATGTTTGCCTCTCGTATGTGTGTGTGTGTGTGTGTGTGTGTGTGTGTGTGTGTGTGTGTGTGTTACAAATAATCCTACCTTTAAAATATTCTCTTATCCGAGGCAAACACTGTAAAATTTTGTATATTGCGTCTATTGGTGAAAACCTATAAGTGACTTCATTGTTGTTATCTTGCAGTTATCGTTTTATCTAAAAAAGTCTTAGGTTTCCTGTTACAAATAAATAAATGATATAAGTTCTACATAGTTTGGGGCTCTGCTGTGGTATTTATTTATATTTATTTTAAAAATTTCTTTATTTAACTTGGCGTGGCAAATAAGTTGAAGGCCCACCTGACAGATGGTAGTAACCGTACCTATTGACATAAACAGTATTATTACACGGTGTCGCCCATGATGTCAGTAATTGATGCTAATAAATTGTGGCTATCTAAAGATTTTTTTTTTATTCCGTAATAACTATTAGATTATTTTAAAACAAATAAAAAAACCCAACTTTTACCAATTAATTTAAGTATTTCTAAATGCTCTTAATCGGACTACGAATTAATTATAATATAATTAATAACATTACATATAGTACAGCTAAGTAGCATAGAAATTGATCAATCATTATTTATTTCATTAATTTTGTTACAGCCAACGGCAGGCCGATCGCCGGACGGTACCTCATGTGATGTGAAACCTCCACATCAACAATCTTGGGACCCCAGGGTCGGATATGTGAGTATATATTTTTTACATAATTTTTACCTAAACAAAACTCATACTGACATATTATGAACCGCAGTGGTATTAACCTATTTAAAGATACAAATGATTTTACATTTTAATCGTAAAATATAAATAAATTTGTCTGCAAAAAAATATGGACATTGCATCACTCATACATGTTTTTTAATTTACTGCATAAATCGGAAATTGTTTCTATAATTTCCGTTAAATATTGTTATAATTAAATTAAAAAAAAAATACCTTTTTATTTAAGATATTTTACTCTTAATATTACAACAAAATACAAGAAACAATAAATATTTTGTAATATATCTATTTCTGTCAATATATTTAATTTCACACCACGTCCATTATAAATAAAATATGTACATTTATACACATCTTTTGTTTCATACAATTTTATAAAAAAAAAAACAAATTATACACACCACTTTGAGTATCACTGTTTCTCATAAATCGCTTTCTGATTTCACTTAATGTGAATTAAGTACCTCTCTATAATACAATGTGCATATCTTAAGGGGGGTTACATTTTATCGTAGGAGGGTTTTTACGCTCGCTCGGAGGGTGTAGAAGGGCCGCCAAGTGAGGACGACCCCGCCAGAGGGCGCCCCATGCCTTGGATGTTGAAGGTAAGAACTTAGGTGCAAAAACCGTCGAGGGATGTTAAATTATTGTACATTTTTATTTTTTACTTTTTAAGCGTCTTAAGTAATATTCTAAATTCATCTCCTATTTTAAGCGACTTCTAAACGGTGGAGTTTCTTGTTTCGTCTTTTCATAGCTTTATTATGCTGAGTCGATTTTGATGATTGTTCTTACAATCGATTTTATTTGTAGTTAGTCTGATTTTGTCACGATTGAAGTCATCATGGTTTTTTGCGGAGTAAAAATTAAATTATAATATTTTTTTTAAATGGATTTCATTAAACAATAGGAAGTTTTCAATGCGTCCGTATTTTTTTTTATGTAATAAATTAAGCAACATTTACGTCAGTTTGAATGAATGAATGAATGAATGAGTATACTTTATTTGCATTATACAATATAGGATTCTTTATTACAGTTAAGCTCGCCTTTGTACTTTTGATTACCTCTGTCATATTCTTGTAACTAGTGTACAATAAAGAATTAAATAAATAAAATAAATAGGAAATAAGAAATAATTGTACCTGATTTTAACAATTCTCTTTCAATTCAATTTATTTGTATTTATTTTAAGTTTTTTTTTTTATACTACTTAGAATGGCAAACAAGCTGACGGCCCACCTGACGGAAAGTGGTAACCGTCGCCTATAGACATGAGCAGTACCGTGGACATAACATAGTATATTGTTTCGCCCACGATACCCCCCATGTGTTGCCATTCCTGAGGACTCAGGTGTTATTCCTCTGTACCTAGTAAATTCACGCCATATCCCATCCATCAAACCGAAACACAGCCATGCAAACACAACTGCTTCACGGTTGAAACACGAATGGGACAGCAATCTACATTTGTACAAAGTCTCCCTCTTCCGATATTATTAAAGTTTTTTTTTTTTATAAATATAAACTTATTTTTTCTCTTTCTCTCCATACAGTTCTGACGACTTCTTTTTTTTTTGTAAAAGAAAATTTTAGATTAATCTATTTGTATCCATTCCTTTTCTTTTTTTTTTTGTAAATAAAAATTATTGTACTCCATTTGTGTGAGTACGTTTTCGATTAGCGTGTGCGTTTAATTGTCTCACTTGTTGCGTGTCAATGTAATATAATATGCATGTATAATAATAATGATTCCCTTTTATGATATTAGGAAAGAAGGCGTAACCATCAACCACCGCACCTAGCGCTTAACTTGATTAATTTAATGCGAGATACTTGCGGGGTGGAAAAATTCTCCTCTCCCCTATATTTTTACTCCCAATATTTTTACCGTTACACAAAAAATAATTTAAACTTGTATTGCATAAAAAAAAAACAGACTTCAATTATGATAAAATCAATTATATTGGTTTAAAAATTTAACCGATTTTGATTAAATTTCAAAAGATCTTTCTGATAAAAAATAGATTCTGCAATTTGCAAAAGATACTTTTTTAATTATACAGCACTATCATACCTACTTGTACAACAATTAGTCCATTACCTTAAGGTTGTCTTGAAAAGATTGCTCTCAGCAATAAGACCGCCTTACTGTACTTATACAATTGTATCGTTGTGTTTGTAAATTGTCTTGTTTATTTCCTATATTGTATGATGCAAATAAAGTATACTCATACACAAAGATTTTCCAAATCAGTTTATATATAGTGATGAAATAAAACTACTTTAATTTTGACAAATTTTGAATTTTTTCTTATGCAACTTAGAATGGCGAACAAGCTGACGGCCCACCTGATGGAAAGTGGTAACCGTCGCCTATAAACATGAGCAGTACCGTGGACATAACAGAGTATACTGTTTTGCCCACGATACCCCCCATGCGTTGCTATTTCTGAGGACTCAAGTATTATTCCTCTGTACCCTGTAAATTCACTACCATACCCTTTGAACCGAAACACAGCCATGCAAACACAATTGTTTCACGGTAGATGCTGTGATTTACAAATTGTAAACTCTGGAAATGTGTTAAGAATTGGTGACGTATACGCGTAAATTTATACTATGTCAATCGCAAAAATTTCAGACGAGTTAAGAACTACCTCCTTTTGGAAGTCGCTTAGACATATTAAGTAATATACACACAAAATTTTAGTAAATTATACTCGACAAAAAATACAGTGACTTCGATCGAAAAATAAATATTCTCAATTCATCTGTTTATGCTTTTTGTGTATGTATTACGCGATATCTTCGCAAATTATGATCCAATTTTATTAATTATTTTATATTTATAATCTATAAGATTTACACCCGCATTGAAAACATATTAATTATTTATTATTTATCTCGACTGAAGTTGCTGTTTTTTCAGGTTTTAAATTAATAACCACTCGAGTTTTTATTTGTAAAAAAATAATTTATTATTAGTTTTTTTTTTCTATAAAATATATCATTAAAAAATCATTTCATAAATAAATAGTTGGGAAATTAAAATTGAGATGGACAGTGAGAGTTAAAACCAAAAAAATATATTATTCTTTGTACAAGATATATTACTACTATATTACTGGTAGAGAACGCCATAGGATGTTATGTCCGCAATATGTACAATTTTAATTGTTTACTTCAAATTAAATAAATAAATAAAATAAACTATAACTTCCAAATTGATTAACCATTGAAAAGAAAGTTATTAAAAGTTATTTTATATTATTAAATTATTAGTTACTTAACAAGCATTTTTTCTGTCATGTTTAATTGTATAAAATTTCTCACTAATCTGTATTAATAAAACATTATGTATCGATAATCCCTTACGGACTCTCGCGATACAGGTACGCCTAATGCAGGAATTAATATTCAGATATTTGTATATTTATTGTGTAAATTAAAAAAATAAATAAATCAAATCAAGACCATAACTCAACGTCCTAAAAATATTGTTTTCAAATGAACTCTCCGTTGTCGTAGGGCGCGCCGCCCGGCCCCTGGGACGTGAAGGGCGCGCATGCTCATGCACTGCACCACCAGGGAGCGCCACAGCCGCACCCGCCGTACGTGCCCCAATATTCCTGGTACCAGACCGACACCAACCCTGGACTTTTGACGTCAGTATACAAATGTAATCCTACTTAATATTATAAATGTAAAAGTATTTATTGTTATATCAGCCGCTAACTGTCCACTTCTGGACATAGACCATCCCCATAAGGGGTATGTTGCTAGTAGTTGTTACGTAGGCGAGTTGGAAACCGCAATTAGATTTTGATAATCTTTTAAATGGGACGCTACTACCCATTTCTCCTCTACAAGCTTCCTTAGTCGCCTTTTACAACACCCACGGGAAAGGAAGGTGTGGCCTATTCTATGCCGAGTGGGAGGTGATAATTGTCACCGATTACAATATGATACTAAGGACATCATAAAATATACTGTGATGTCTTTCAATAGATTTGTGAGGACTAAAGTATAAATAGGTCTGGATAAATCGCAGCGTTATCTAGTCTTATAATAAAGGTAACAAACAACTGATAGATATTCTTACCATGTCTATGTTAGATATATCTAATAATACCTAATTGTATAAGTGTACAATTAAATATTTATTTATATTAATTTTTAATTTATTCTATAAAACTCTTATCCCTTATTCAAAAAAACATCAATTGTCCAATATATCTATTTTAGTTATTGGAGCATTTTGTCTTTCTCTTTTGTACTTATTTCTTAATTTAAAGATTATGAATAAAGAGGTTAGTTTTCATGTTTAAGAAAATATGTATATAGTGGATGCTTAATTGTATAGATATACAATTAACCACTTATTATAAAATTTTAAATTTATTATTTCAAAACCCAGATGTAATATAATAAATATTTAATTGTACAGGTATACAATAAAATTTATTATTTTTAACAATTCTTTTTTGTTAACAGGGTATGGCCAGCAGTTTAACAGCCATTGCACGGGAGATATTTAATGTTAATAAAAAATTAATGTAAATCCACTTTTAAAAAGGCGAATCACAAAACAGCGCTCACTTAGATTATATAGATAGAGCATCGAGCCTCAATAACGGGTCAACTTTTTGTCAGCTAATTGTCAAAATAGCTGACTCGTTTTTTTATTAATGTTCTGTCTATACTTCAACGTAACTTAAACGTGTCTACTATATTGAATTAAAATGAGTTTTTACGCATTAAAAAGGAGCAAAAATTATAAGACGAAAAATAGAAAATAAAAGAACTAATACAGAAATCACTCATAAACGGTCAGTCATCTTCCATTTTAAGCATAAATTTAATTATAAATATTCACATTTAACAAAAATCGTGGCATTTTTATTATTTTAAATTGCCCTCAAGTGAATAAGAACTTTTTCAATAAGAATGGAATTATTTTTAATTATTATTTGTATTTTGAACTATTTTTTTTTTTGCATAATATAAATATAATATTTATGTAAATTTATTTATTCTCTACCTCTATACGGGTTGATCAATCCTTAGCTTCCTTTAAAGGACAAGTCAAATCACACTTTAGTTTCTTTCACTGTAGTTACTGTTTTCTATTCTTCTGTAATTTTTCAACTGGATTCGTCATATTTCCTTGTGTGTGCTACGTATGTGTATATTTATGTATATACTATAACAATACATACATACATCAGTCAAATACACGTTTTAAATCTATAAAAATTCAGAGATATTTATATTAAAAGAAATCGGTTAAATAAAAACTAGTTAGAGTATTTAAAATGGCCGTTACTTTTAGTGACATTATCTGCCCATATTTATAATATATATGGAGCCACAAAAACTGTTTTTCAACCTACACTTCAAAATTTCACTATATTTTAAAGCAATATGAAGGATTTTGAAGTTCCATCTACATCATTCTTATTCTTTATCTACGCATTATTCTTATTAAATAAATAAATAATACAATTAAATATTGTAAAGGATTATTTAATCTTAATAATATTTTAAGTTACAACCTTTACCTATTTGCATTAATCAAAAGTTATAATTTCTAATCTGGTAACACTGTCGCGTACACAATCGTATGCAAAAGTTGACCCGTTTTTTTTAAGGCATTTGTATGGAGACACTCTGTCTATATAATCTATGGACGCACACAATATGGCGTCTAATTGTCAAGACGAGAGATGTATCGGCACAACCAACTTTAATTTTAAGGAAATTATTTAATAGAAATAAAAAGCATTGTACATTTTTATAATTAAAATAATAAATAGGACATAATTGTTTATAATTATTGTAAATGTTACATGTTAAAATGGGATATGGAAACCAGGTAAATGGCCAGAAAGAATTTGTCTTTTCTGAGGTTTACATTTTTTTTCTGATGGCGACGCATGTTTAAATTGGAACTAGCTGAAATAAATATTAGAAATTACAATTTTGTGTCATTATTTTTTTATAAAAATGTCATAATCACACGTAACCTGAGTTGTATGAATTTTTACTATTCTATTCCCGTACTGGTCCTGGTCTTATTTTTTACATACTTAAAGTCAAGTATTATTGTTATTTTTGTATCTATTTATGAAAATTTGAAACAAATTTCATATTTTAAACATGTATTGTAAAATTTAATTAATTATATTCAAATAAGTACATATTTTCTCGAAGAAAATATTTAGCAACCATATTAATTAATAAAATTTATGACAAGTAAATTTATATTTATAATAAAAAGTCATTTATCACGTGGAAAAAAGAAAGTTTCTAAAGGAATAAATAAATTTATTTAATTAGGTCATACCCAATTAAATATAAATATTTGAATAAATTTTAAGATTCATATTATTTTATGTTTCCGTTCAATTTAAAAATTGGAAAATGTATTCATAAATATAAGCTTTAATGAGTTACATACATTATTTATTTAGTTTAAATGAAATGAAAACATACGGGAATGCAAACCAGTCTGTTGTGATAAATAATTTTAAGTTTTTTTTTTTTCTAGAGACATAAATTGTTTTTAATGAATTGAAAAGTATTTATTGAATTTTTTTTACATTGCAAAAATGTGTTCGGATGCATAATATTTTTAGCTACATACATATATTTTTTTTTTATAATGCAATCTTTTTTTACCTGTATAGATACTTATAGACTGTTTATAATAATATTTATAGCAGTACCTATAAAATATATAAATAAATATATTGTTTTTGTTTTTCATAGACAAAAAAATATTGTTATGAACGGCCTCTAGTATCAAAACTATAATCAAAAGTGGGTCTTTACGGGAAGTACGTTATTGTAAATATTTTTTGTAATATATAGTGAAATAAACTATACATATAGATATAGGTAGATAGTATAATTACTTTATAACTACAATGTATAATAAGGAAAACGGAATCTAAAAAAAAAGTGAATTAATTTCTTTTGTCAAATAAAATGAGAAAAAGATACATGTTTGCGTTTTCTTTTCACATCAATAAAAACAAAATACCTATATATATATATATATATATATATATATATATATATATATATATATATATATATATTAATAAACTGGCATAAAGAATGGATAAGTAGAGAGAGAAAGGTAGATGGCGTAAATCAGACACAGTAAATGCATATATATATATATACACTAGCGATCAGACCCGGCTTCGCACGAGTAGACAGAATTTTCCAAAATCAATACATATAATTAAAAATGTTTTAGACAATTCAACTAATCGGGGGGGGGGGGGGGGGGGGGGGTTGCCAATAGTTACCACGCTTAGCAAGCGGATTGGTAACCGCAGTTAGTGACGTTTTAAAAGATGCTACTGACTATCTCTTGACCATTACGTTCCCTTAGTCCCCTCTTACGATACCCACGAGAACGGAAGAGGCCTATCTTTCTCAGTGATAATATAGCTTTATAGGGGGAGGGAAAGGAATTGTTAGTACCTAATGAAGAATATTGGCCCCATTGCTAGCAAGCCCTGTCAGGTCGACCTCCACTTTCCCCTGGAAACCATTGTGACTAATACTTGTTGCATTGGTCACAATGGACTGGACTGCTTTCATGCTCACCTATCATCCCTCACTGGTGCCCCACAATCGTATACCATTAGCGCAGGCGGGGTTACTATTCCATTATCATCTAATAAAAAAAAATAGCTTGTTTCAACCGTGAAGCAGTAATAGTTTAAAAATGAATACTGACTTTAAGACTGGGTGCTATGCCTTTATACAATGCTAGTGCCAATCTAATCCTTAACCAACTTGGCAGCTGCAACGCCAATCGCCTATATGTGTGGGTAATGGTGTCCTCAAAACCTGTCAAACCTTACAATCACCAATCTGTACGGAACCAATCTGTAAGTATGTCCATAAGTATAAGTAAGTATATTTCATATAAGAAAAGAATTTTCCAAATCAATTTAAATAATTAAAGAATTAAAAAAAAAACCGTCTGATAACTATTTTACATTATACCAAGCTGTACTTGTCGAAATCCTTCACAGAATCACCATCGCTCGTTCACTTTAAGAATGACCAATAAAACTCATTTATTGCCAATCAATATAGTACTAAATGAACGAGCCACCCTGCACCGCCGCGAAAAACATGGTACGTAATTAAAATGGCTATCTGGACCCAATTATATGTACCTTTATTGAAACGTCCTGCACATGCACATGGCACGGCACTGTTTTTCAAAAAGGCGGCAAACACAAAGGGATGTTTGTTTTTACCGCTCGGCTGCTGTATGGAGTTTGCAAAAAATGTCATTGTTGCTAACGATGGAAAAAACATACTGACTAGGTAAGTGTGTTAACCTTGCTGCGTGAAGCAGTATGCGCATAATGCAGCCAGCTTTCAAGCATATTCTAGCATACTGATAAATGTGGAATTGAGTAATTCTGTTACCTTGGGGGGAAAGGGATTGTTAGTAATGGAGACTGAGAATCCCATTGCTGGCAATATACACAACCAGGTCGACCTCCTCGCGGTTCTCCCTGGAAACTATCATGGTTAATTCCCGATGAATTCATCATGATGGGCTAACTGGCCTGTTTTCATTCTCATCTATCACCCTTTACTGGTGCTCCGCCAGCGTATCCCGTTAGCGCAGGTGGGGTTACCAGGTACCCAAGCAATCGACTTTTGTACAAAGTCTCCCTCTTCTTTGCAGAGCAAAATACACTTATCTCTATATAGATATGCCGAATACAAAACTCACTCGAACAATTGTTGGATTTCCATCTAGATATAATAAAAACAGCACACATTACAATGCAATTTTCAACTTTAACGAAACGGAATACGGTTCACGACGTTCCGTAGATACACGCCTACAAAACATCCAATTATATTAAGCTAGGTCGATTAACCTGCCCCATAAAGGTTGTCATAGCACAAATTCATTCCATTTGTCCGTCTGTAAATTGATAAAAAAGTCACTTCGTTTTCGATTTAAAACAACACAGTTGCAAAAGTAAAGTGTGTATTGTACAATAACATGCGGGTTCCTTATATTAATAATCCTAGATGTAATGAATTAGTATTTTGATTTCGCGACTCACTCTTGGCCACAGCAGAATATCAGTGTTGTAGGGGGGGAAAGGGATTGTTAGCAATGGAGTTTAACAGCCCCATTGTTAGCAATATGCCCTATTAGGTCGACCTCCACGTGGTTCCCGCTGGAAACCATCGTGAACAATTCTTGTTGAATTCGTCACGATGGGCTAACTGTCCTGCTTCATCCTCACCTATCATCCTTCACTGGTGCCCCGCCGGTGTATACCGATAGCGCGGGTGGGGTTACCATTCCATTTTTTAACCATGAAAAAAAAATATCAGTGTTTTGCTCTTTTAAGGGCAAAGCAATAAACTGAGTTGTGACCATTTTGTGTTACTATGGCACACTTGTTGGTTTATATATTTTGTTTTTTTTTTTTTTGTTTTGTGTTTTTTTATTTTCATTCTTCTATCTCTTTTACTGTGTATTATATGTATATTTTTTTATTGTAATTTGTGTGCTGTAAGTAATGTAAATAAATTATCTATCTATCTATCTGTATAGGTAGAAAGTGCCGTCGTATTGTTCCGGCATAGAAAGGGCCACCCCTTCTTCATTTCTTGTGGGTGTTGTAAGAGGAACTAAGTCGAGGGATGGGCAGCAGCGTTCCTTTAAAACATCACCAGAGCAAACTACGGTTGCCAACCCGTCTGCCAAGCGTGACAACTATTGGCAAAGACCCCATATGGGAGAGGCCTATATTTAGCAGTGGACAGACAACATTCCGAACCCAGCAATAGGTTATAAAAAAATTACGATTTAAAAGAGCTTATTAAAATATATTATTATTTGAATAAAAATAATTTCTATTCTAGTAGCGACATCTATTATCAAACTTATCAAAGTTTTTAATAACTAAACAACGTCTGTATATAGGAGATATTTAAAAAAAATAACATAATAACCCTCCATTAGAGCAATAGAAGTCAAAAGAATATTCTTTTCTTAATTTTGTGTCTATTTGTCTACGTGTATGTTTGTTTCGGTTTCGTGTAAAAATTACTAGACCAAAATGGATTCGGAAACGGCAAAAACACAGTGATCTCATTAATTTCCCATTACATATGTTGCTTTACGGTTGAAACACGAATGGGACAGAGGTACCCAAGCAAACGACTTTAGTACAAAGTCTCCCCCTGGTAAATATTATTATTATTTGGTATTATATTTTTTTTTACTTCTGTTCAAACGACACTATTGCAACTGCAATAATTCACTAAGGAACCCCAAAACTTCCTACATGACGTCGGCATTCGAGTTACACGACATTTACAATATAAAATGACGAAAAAATGGACACCTACTGTCTCTCTAATTAACATCTTTAACGGTACTTGTATGTAATGAAAAGATATTGTGGTCACAAGTTATTGTGATACATAAGTAATTTATTGTAACACTAGCGGTCCGCCCCGGCTTCGCATGATATTTTTGATAATAGAAAATTGTGATCCACAAAAAATCGACCTCAAACTAGTCACTTTCATTTAATTTTTTTTTATTTTATTTTTACACACAAATTATACATAGAAATATCACAGAAGTAACCAAATGTACAAAGGCGAGCTTAACTTTTTTTTTTATACAACTTAGAATGGCAAACAAGCTGACGGCCCACCTGATGGAAAGTGGTAACCGTCGCCAATAGACATGAGCAGTACCACGGACATAACAGAGTATACTGTTTCGCCCATGATACCCCCCATGCGTTGCCATTCCTGAGGACTCAGATGTTATTCCTCTGTACCCAGTAAATTCACGCCATATCCCACCCTTCAAACCGAAACACAGCCATGCAAACAGCTGCTTCACGGTTAAAACACGAATGGGACAGAGGTACCCAAGCAATCGACTTTTGTACAAAGTCTTCCTCTGGTAGAAACTCTAAAAGGACGCAACACGCAAAGTGGAAAGGAGCATCAATTTCAGCGAGCAGAGCGGTGTACAACATTGTGACAATTTTCAAACAATTAAAACAAAATAACTGAATCGCTTTTGATAAAATTTCTTTCAGACGAATCTGTAAGTATATCCTTTCTGAAAAAAAAAAATTCCAAATCGCTTTACAACTGACGGACTTATGAGGTGACAAACATGAAAATTAATCCTTCTTTTTAGGGTCGGTTGAAAAATTAAATTAAATTAAATTTAAATTCTCGAAAAAAGAACAACCTGTATATGTACCAACGGCACTAGACAGTACAAACTGTATACTCGTACACACCTAATATTAGGTATATAGTGGCGTTGATGTAGACAGAGATTAACCGACTTCATAAAAGGCGGTTCTCAATACAGTCCTATCTTTTTTTTATTTTTATAATCTCATAACTCAATCAGTTTGTTTTAATGGGTGATAATGGAATGATGACCCCGCCTACGCCATCAGTATTCGCTGGCGGGGCACCAGTGAGAGATGATAGGTGACGATGAAAGCAGGTCAGTTTTTTTTTAATGGATGGTAATGGAATGGTAACCCCACTCGCGCTATCGGTATACACCGGTGGGGCACCAGTGAAGGATGATGGCTGAGGATGAAGTAGGTCAGTTAACCCATCGTGACGAATTGTGCATGATGGTTTCCAGGGGGAAGCACGTGGAGGTCGACCTAGTAAGGCAATGGGGCTATCAAACTCCATTGCTAAGAATCCCTTTCCCCCCAAGCAGGTCAATTAGCCCATCGTGACGGATTCCACTAGAATTAACCACGATGGTTTCCAGGAGGAACTACGAACTGGTAGGGTGTGTTGCTGGCAATGGGTCCGTTAGACCCCATTACTAACAATCCCTTTCCCCCCCAACTCTATCAGTCGTAAACCATTTTGAAAAATTCTTTTTTTATCTGAAAGGATATACTTACAGAAATATATAATAGAAATTTTATCAAAATC